ATTAAGTAAAAACAATTCACATGAAACCAATCAAACAATGACCAGTTGTTCAAATGTCCATGTTCAAATGTGAGGCATTTCCTGCTGTGTTTCTACCTTTTTATTCCATTGCTCCAGCTCTTTGAGGGCTGAATTTCATCCACTCCAAACAGACAGGGAAACCTCTAAGAGCAGAGCTCATTCAAGATTTCTCCTCTCCCGTGTCCTCTTGGTTTAAATGGCTCTGATTGGTGCACCTGGAACTGTCAGGAGAGGTTCAGGGAACAAAATGCTAATTTATATAATTATTAGTGAGCGGGAAGCTTCCCAGGTGTCCTTCAGTCAGTGTCACCACCGCAGTGACCACGCTGGAGTCCTGATGGGAGCTGAGGGAGCAGCTCTGGGAGCCCTCACTGCTGGCACTTCACATTAAATTAGTAATACCCATTAAACGGTGATCTTAGCTGGCATTATTTAAACATAACCTCGCAGGACATTGGCCTGGAGCAGCTGCAGCACGGAGCTGGGGGATGATGCAGCTCAGCTATGCATGAGTGTGCAGCAGCTCCTCCGCACGTGGGGCTGGGGCCAGGAGCTCCAGCAGGTTCTCAAGCATATGGACACCCAAACTCATTAAAACCAGGCTGAAAATCAGGATTTTGTAATGGATAAAGTCATTTTTTTAACAGATTTGGAGTTTTATTTGCATTATCCCTAGACAAAGGAAGGAATGATCAATCTGACTCCATGTTCTCAGAAGGCTAATATATTATTTTATTATATTATATTAAGAACACTAAACTATACTAAAGGATACAGAAAGGATACAGACAGAAGGCTGAAAAGATAATAATGAAAACCCGAGACTCTGGAAAGAGTCCTGACACAGCTTGGCTGTGATTGGCCAAAGAGTGAAAACAATTCACATGAAACCAATAAAACAATCACCTGTGGATAAACAATCTCCAAACACATTCCAGCTGTGCATGAGTGTGCAGCAGCTCCTCCGCACGTGGGGCTGGGGCCAGGAGCTCCAGCAGGTTCTCAAGCATATGGACACTCAAACTCATTAAACCAGGCTGAAAATCAGGATTTTGTAATGGAAAAAGTAATTTTTTAACAGATTTAATGTTGTATTTACATTGTCCCCGGACAAAGGAAGGAATGATGAATCTGACTCCATATTCTCAGGAGGCTAATTTATTATTATATTATATTATATTATATTATATTATATTATATTATCAATACTAAACTATACTGAAGAATACAGAAAGGATACTTACAGAATGTTAAAAAGATAATAATGAAAACTCGTGACTCTTTTCAGAGTTGTGACACAGCGTGGCTGTGATTGGCCAAAGAGTGAAAACAATTCACATGAAGCCAATAAAACAATCACCTGTCGGGTAACCAATCTCCAAACACATCCCAGCTATGCAAGAGTGTGCAACAGTGCTGGGGCCAGGCCCTGCAGGAGCTCCAGCAGGTTCTCAAGCATATGGACACCCAAACTCATTAAAACCAGGCTGAAAATCAGGATTTTGTAATGGATAAAGTCATTATTTAACAGATTTGATATTGTATTTGTGTTACCCCCAGACAAAGGAAGGAATGATGAATCTGACTCCATGTTCTCAGAAGGCTAATTTATTATTTCATGATAATATATTATATTAAGAATACTAAACTATACTAAAGAATACAGAAAGGATACTTATAGAATGTTAAAAAGACAATAATGAAAACTCGTGACTCTTTCCAGAGTCCCAACACAGCTTGGCTATAATCGGCCAATGAGTCAAAATAATTCACGCTAGAAACCAATAAAACAATCTCCAAACACATTCCAAAGCAGCAAAACACAGGAGAAGCAAATCAGATAATTGTTGTTTTCCTTTTTCTCTGAGGCTTCTCAGCTTCCCAGGAGAAAAATCCTGGGTGAAGGGATTTTTTCTGAAAATGTAAATGTGGCAATTTGAGGCTTTCCATTTGAAGGCACCTTCCTTAAATATCAAGAATCTGAGTTTAGGCACTCAAAAATCTTGGGGATTTCAGGGAATCTTAAAATAAATAGAAGGAATATGGAAGGAAAAGAGAAGGAAATAGAGGGAATATGGAATTATATGAAAGGAATATAGAAGAAAAATGGAAGCAAATAGAAGGAAACTGGAAGGAAATAGAAGGAATGGAGAAGGAAATAGAAGGAATATGGAAAAAATAGAAGGAATAAAAAAATAGAAGGACTATAGAAGGAAATAGAAGGAATATGGAATGAAATAAAAGGAATATGGAAGGAAATGGAAGGAATGGAGAGGGAAACAGAAGGAATAAGGAAAGAAATAGTGAGTGCTGAGCCTCATTGAAGGGATATTTTCCCACTGATACCAAATGACTAATTGTGCTTTTATGATCAATTATTGAAGCCTGGATGAGAGAGGAGAGCTCCTTCAACAGCCACTGATTTACAAAGCAGGCTCTGGCTGCCACAAAACACAAATCAGCCTTTCCTCCAGTGGCTGGTTGTGAAAAGAAATCTGTGTGAAGGGTTTTATTTCTCCCTTAACATTTTTTGTTGTTTGTTTGTGTCATTTGGGGTTTTTTTTCCCCCACGTGTTCTTGGTGTTTTATTTCAGTTGCAAACCCAGAAATGGAACAGAAATGGGTTTTTGCTCAAGGGATTCAAAGTGATGAATGAATTTTGTTCTTTTAGTGATTTTATCAAGAGGCTGCTCAGATCATTTAAACTGAGTGAGGGAATATTGAAGGAAATCTTGAAATATGGGGAAATAGAAGGGAATCTTGGACAAGGGACAAAATGGAATCAGCACCAGGGGGAGTCAGCAGCAATAGAGGGAGTTTTGGGGAAAAATGCAGGTTTTTGATAAGTTTTGGGTGATGGGGACATTAAAACACCACTGAGAAGAGAATTAATAACTCTGCAGCACTGGGGAGCAGCTCAGGCTCAAGGAGGTGTTTCCTTGGAGGAGGAAGAGCAAAGTGAAACGAATAAATTGACAGAGGGGCAAAAAAAGCCTTTATTTTAAAATAAAGTTTAAAAACTTTAAACCTTATTTACAAATGAAGTTTTGTTTGGGGGAGGTGCCAGCACTCCTCTGCCTCTCCCCGGGGAGGAATTGATCCCATTAAATCCATCAGGGAATTCACAGCAGAGCCAGGGACATCTTCTGTCACACCCCTAATGCACAGAGACAGGCTCAGTGCTGCCTGGCCTGCAGAAAAATGAATTTTTCTCCATTGATTCGTGTCCTGCTCTGAGAATCAAGGGGGGTTTAGGTGCATTCGTTAAGGAAATCAGGTTTGGTCAAGCGTGTGGGGGAAAGTTCTGGAGGAACCTTGGGATTGGGTTCTGTGGGAACTGTGACATTCACCTAATCTAGATTGGATTTGGATAATCAGTCTAGATTAGATAAAAACGCTGTTTAAAATGTTGTGGTACAGGGAGAAAATCAGTTCTGGAGAGGAGGAGCCAAATGCTGCTCCTGTGTCCATCCGAGGCTGGGAGGGGCAAACAAAACTTGGATGAAACTGGGTGCACAAAGGTGATTTTTATTCCTTTTATTCTCTCTGGATCTTTTCAGATTTTGGTTCCAGGATTCAAAGATGTAGGTTTTGATCTTTGTTGCCTTGCCATAAATACCTGCAGAGCTCAGTCATCAACACCAAAGGCACCAAATTCCTTCAGAGCTTCCAAGAGTTGTGCCCCTCACTGAGGGCTCCATAAATATTTCTGTATTTCATAAAAAGTACAATATCCTGAACTGAAGGTGACCAAAAGAATCCCTGAGCCCAGCTCCTGGCTTTGCACAGGGTTTGCTTGTAAAATCAGCATTTTATCCCTGATTTTATTTTTTTGGGAAAGTATAGGGAAATGGTGTGTGGGTGGAGTAACACAGGGAAAGGAGAGAAAGCTTGGAAAAGCGGAGTGTGATGTCCCAAACCACAGGCTGGCAGCCTTGCCCATGCTTTGCTGCCTTCCTCCAGGCTTTACAAACACTTTCATAACTGTGCTGAGGGGAGGAATTTCTGCTCTGCACTCCAAGGCACCGAGGTGGGTGAATCTGCTTTATTTCCTTTCTGCTGTGCCGGCTGGCTGTTTCTTTACGGGGTACCTGAGGAAATTTTGAAAATTCACGAGGGTGAAGCTGAAGCTGGGCTGTAAAGGTGTCTCTGTGTGCCTTAAAACCCCCTTTGGGAGGGAGTTCACACTCACACCCTGTAGCCACCAATTTCTGCCTGATTGGGCTTTGCCCTCATCAGCGAAGCGCGGCTACGACGTGGAATTAAATCAGTTTTTAGGGGATTTCTTTCCCTCCTAAAAACACAAAAAGAAAACCAGGCAGCAGGCAGAGAGAGGGTTCAGCAAGCCTGAAATCTCCCATTTCCAGTGCAGAAAAGACCCCAAAGCTAATGAATCCAGGGGAGTGTGTTTGTCCTCCTGAGGAGCTTTTTCCAAGAGTCTCCCTCCAACCCCTGAGTGTCGAATCTGATTTTTTTTTCCATGCTGGATTTTTTTCCCCTTTTTTTTTTTTTTTTTTTTTTTTTTTTGCTGCCTCCAAACTTAACTGTTTTGCCACTGGAGAAATCCAGTTGTTTTCTCTGTTAAATATCTGTATTCTTGCTGGAAATCTACCTCACCCACATGACTGGTCTTCACTATTAATCCCAGCTGATGGCAGGGAGGGGCTCTAGTGGGAGGCAGCCATGTGGTGAACATTGAGCTCAGTGTTTCCCCCCTGCTTCTCTCCTCTCCAGACAGGCAAAATTGTTCTGTGCTGCCGTGGATGTGAAGTCCTCTCCGTGCTGCTTCTCCCCCAGAAACTCCCAGGGCCTTGAATTTGCAGCCCTCCAAAAAAAAAAAAAAAAAAAAAAAAAAAAAATCCATCAGGCTGGATCTGGATGGAAGATGGAGCAGGGGGTGGATAGCAGGAGGGAAGAAAGAGTGAAGTTGGTGATTTTTCTGGCACATGGATGCAATTACACTCGGTGCATTCCAGAGGCGTTCCTGTGAACGCTCTGCAGGTCTGCCTGCCGTCCTTGGGAGAGAGGAAGAAAAAGGGAGGACAAGTCCCTCGTGCTGGGAGACGGAATGTCTGCATTTCCAATCCTCTTCTTAGGTAGGTTGGCTTTTTTTTTTTTTTGGTGTTGTTTGCTTTTTATTTAATCAAACTTCCACCAGTCTGCTCCGTGTGTGTCTGAAATTCGTGGCTGGCGAGTTGGAGAAAAGGGGTTTGTAAGGAGGAAACTTTTGTGTAAAACTGTAATTTTCAGTGGTGTTTGAGTTCTGATCTTTTTCTGGTCACTTTATGAGCAGGTTGACAGCCAGAGATCTCTGATTAATCCAGATTAAATTTAAAAAGTGCTGCTCAAACAGGCTCATTTGTGTTTGTTGTTTGAAGAGAGCAGAGCTTTTCAGGGATAAAGGAGAGAAAGGCTTGCAGCTCTTGGGCAAAACAAGGTTGAATAAAATGTCTTTGTTTCAGGCAGAGTGTCAAATTTGTGTAACTGTGTGGAATTGTTGGGCACTGAGCGTTCAGATGTTGAAAAGAAAAAGGAGTTATTGTTTGCAAGGGGCGGCTGAGATTAGAAACAGATGTGCTGGAGTGCAGCAGGGGGAGAAAGGGATGAGAGAAGGGGGAAGGAGGGAGAGAGAAAAGGGGGAGAGAAAAGCGAGAGAGGCTGATTTGGTGAGGAGGAGAGAATGGAAAAAGAGGAAGGAGGAAAAGGAGAGTGAAGGGAAGCTGGAGGGAAGAGAGTTGGCAGCCCTGAGGGGCTCCTGTGCCTCCCTCCTGCTCACCCCGCGCTGCTGACAGCTCCAGCCCTGCCTGGGCAATGCCTGGGCAAACCCTGCCCCTTCCAGGAGCTGTGGGTGCTGGAACCTGGCACAGGTGTGGCAGAGGGGCTGGCCCTGCCTGCCTGGGAGGGGCTGAGGGCAGAAATGGCATTTCTGAACAGCACTAAAGGATCGTGGTGGGCAAAGCCCAGTTTGGGGCTCCCGGGTGTGGGATGTGGACTGGGGAGGGAGGTTTGGTGGTCAAATTCAACATTTGTGCAGCTGCTGATGAATGGAGAAGTGGCTTTGGACCTGGGGATTGGGAAGGTTTTTCCTCTGTGGGGCTCTGAGGTTTTTTCTCTGTAGGGCTCTGAAGATTTTTCCCTGTGGGGCTCCAAGATTTTCCCTGTAGGGCTCCGAGGTTTTTCCTCTGTGGGGCTCTGGGGTTTTTCCTCTGTGGGGTTCCAAGGTTTTCTCTGTAGGGCTTTAAGGTTTTCCCTGTGGGGCTCTGAGGTTTTTCCTTGTAGTGTTTTAAGGTTTTCCTCTGTGGGACTTTGAGTTTTTTCCTCTGTGGGGCTCCAAGGTTTTCTCTGTGGGGCTCTGGGATTTTCCTCTGTGGGGCTCTGGGGTTTTTCCTTGTAGAACTTTAAAGTTTCCTCTGTGGGTCTCTGAGGTTTTTCCTCTGTGGGGCTCCAAGGTTTTCTCTGTAGGGCTCCGAGGTTTTCTCTGTAGGAATTTAAGGTTTTCTCTGTTTTCTCTGTGCTGATGGATGTGGGCACTGCAGGCAGCACTTTGTGCCCTGCACATCTGCCCATTTGTGCCTCTCTGTGGCGGGGAGTGCTTGGGAGAGTGCTCAGCCCTTCAGGAAGTGGCTCTGTGGAAATTTGGGACACAGAAGGGTGGGTTGCTCACCTTGCTGATGGAGACAATGGGGATTTCAATCTGTGATCCCATTCAGCTGCTGAATGTTCCCATTTGTGGAAGGTTTGGAGAGAAACGAACAAACTGTTGCTGCAGAAAAGGTGGGTTTGTCAACTCACCTTTGCTGCTTTTATCTATAAAACACAAGTGGCTTTATCAATTGTCTTGGTTTACAAGGCAGCTGTTTGCTGGGGAAGGCAGAAATCCTTCCTGGAATGGAGAATTTAAATTTTCAATGTTTCCACAATGATAGGAACACAGGAATGCCCAACAAAAGACACTTTTCCCTCACCTGGAATCAGCTTTCTCAGCCTCTCCTGTCCAGGTGCTGGTGAGGGGAGAATTGTCCTCAAAACTCAGAACAAAACCTGGAATTTTTGTTTCCTGGCCCTGCAGTGGGCACTGAACTTCACCTGAGCTTTACCTGCCCTGCCAGCACAGGATTTGCTCTTCCTGCTCCTTGTCCAGCTTCATTCACCAAGATTAGGAGCAAGCCCAGGGAAAAGGAAGGAAATGTTGTAGTGCCCTGTTCCTGGATCCTCCTGAACACAGGGAGGCTGGGGAGTCTGATTTGCTGGCTAAAACCTGGATTTTCTGCAGTAAAAGTCTACAAAACTGCCAGGGATGTCTTGCTACTTTGGGTTTTTGGGTTTTTTTTCTGATAAAGTGAAGACTAATGTGGAAAAACCCAGGTTTTAGAGAAGCCTGGAGAGGAAGGTTTCTGTTTTCATCATTAAACATCCCAAAAACGTGGCTAATGTACACAAGTCTTGTCTTTTCCACTGTTTACCTCTCTGGGGCACACGAGCAGCTGTGTGAGGAGACAGGAAACAGGGGCCAAGCTGCTTGAAGGAGACTTTATTAAAACAGGACGAGATGAAAGGCTTGGCTGAGTGTGGACAAGAGCTCACTTTGCCAGGGGATGTGAGGAAGCGAAGGTGGCCCTGTGGGTTCTGCATGATTGTGGCCAGCTGAGCAGTGAGAATCAGGTGTCACAAACTCCCTTTGTGCCACTGCACTCTCGAAAAGCAGAATTTTCAAGTGGTTCTTCACTCCAGAGTGGAAAAAGTTCATGATAGGATGTTGCATTTTTCACCCAATAAAGAATTAGCCGGTTCTTTCATTGAAATTTGTTCCTGAAGTGGTTTAAGTTTTATGGGGTGGGAAATCTCTGCCTTTCCCCCTCTTCAAGTCAATCATGAGTGTGACCGTGTTCACAGGGATCTCAGGTTGAGGGCAGAGATGAGGATCTGACTCCATGTTTCAGAAGGCTTGATTTGTTATTTTATGATATATATTATATTAAAACTATACTAAAAGAATAGAAGAAAGGATTCCATCAGAAGGCTGGATAAGAATAGAAAAAGAAAGAATGATAACAAAGGTTTGTGGCTGGGACTCTCTGTCTGAGCCAGCGGGGCTGTGATTGGCCATTAATTAGAAACAACCACATGAGACCAATCCCAGATGCACCTGTTGCATTCCACAGCAGCAGATAACCATTGTTTGCATTTTGTTGCTGAGGCTTCCCAGCTTCTCAGGAGGAAAAATCCTAAGGAAAGGATTTTTCATAGAAGATGTCTGTGACACATGAACGTTTTTAATGATTGACAATGAAGGAAACAATGAAGGAAAAAGATTATTTTCTTGTGATCAGAACAGCTTGGAGGGGTGATTTTTTTTATTTGTATGCCTGGCTCTGTCGCTGGTTCCCTGTGTTCTGTCACTGGTTCCATCTGCTTTTTCTGCTTTTTCCTTGGCCATGAGTGCTCTGCCCTGCAGGAGCTGTGCCAACCCCAAGGCCTCACCCACCTCTGCCATCCTGGTGGGCACTGACACTTCCAGCAGTGCTGGGGGTCACCCACCCCAGGGCAGTAAAGCAGCACTTCACCAGTGAGAGGAACAGTGGATTTGTCTTTCCAAACCAGCACTGGGAGATAAAAGAAACAATGGGGAGGATTCCACTGATTGATGAATGGAAAAAGAGATTTGCTTTTACAAATAAACTGGAGGTATGCTGATCAATGAAATTAGACCTTGAAAGGTGAAAGAAACAATGGGGAGGAAAAACCCTTAAATTCTGTAAGAATTCAAAAATTAAAAGGCAGGGTTATACATTAGAGGGGAATCTCTGGTATCAGAAATTCTGGGAAGTCTGAAGCTCTCAAGTCCCTCAGAAATGGGGAAAGAGAGAAGGGAAATGTGGCTGGAAATTGGGATAAAAAGGAGGCTGAGTCCTCCAAAAATTGGAGAGATCCCAGGGGAAATGCCCCATGGCCTTGGCCTTGACTGGAATAAAGTTCCAGGACTGCTCTGTCTCCTGTTTGGACATCAACCTCTGGTGTTTGTGGATGGATTTTCCTAACACCAGTGATTCTGTAGGAGCTGGGGGTCACTCTGGGGTGCTGCGGAGGGTGAGGGTCCCCGCAGAGCAGCTCAGCTCACTCTGCCCTGCACACTCTGAGCTCAGGGATCTCTTTCAGCGCCGTCCCAGGGCTCTGACCCTGCCGTGCTGAGCCCCAGCTCCTCCTGTCTCTCTGCTCAGCCAAAAAGGTTCTGGAGCAGCTCCTGGCAGGGCCTGCTGGCGTGAGGAATTGCCTCTGACAGCCGGCATTTGCCCAGGTATCCACGGCTGGTAGCTGGGAAATGCGAGCTGATGCAGAGCTGGGGCTGCCCGGGGCTGTGCTCTGCTGGGAAAGGCTCCAGTTCCTGCTGGGAGAGCACAGCAAACAGCAACTCCTGCCCTTGGCATCCTGCTCCCCAAACCCCTCTGTTTCTGCTCTCCAAACCCTCCTGTTCCTGCTCCCCAAACCCTCCTGTTCCTGCTGTGAAAGAACAGCCAACCCTGGCCTTGGCATCCTGCTCCCCAAACCCTCCTGATCCTGCTCCCCAAACCCTCCTGTTCCTGCTGTGAAAGAATAGCCAACCCTGGCCTTGGCATCCTGCTCCCTAAACCGCCCTGTTTCTGCTCCCCAGATCCTCCCATTCTTGCTGTGAGAGCACAGAGTGCACTGCCCTTGGCATCCTCCTCCCCAACCCCTGGCCTGGGCATCCTGCTCCCCAAACCCTCTCATTCCTGCTGTGAGATCACAGTGTGCCCTGCCCTTGGCATCCTGCCCCCCAAACCCTCCTGTTCCTGCCCCCCAACCCCTGTGTTCCTGCTCCCCAAACCCCTCTGTTCCTACTCCCCAAGCCCTCTGTTCCTGCCCCCCAAACCTTCCCATTCCTGCCCCCCAAACCTTCCTGTTCCTGCTGGGAGAGCAGAGCAAACAGCAATCCCTGGCCTTGGCGTCCTGCTCCCCAAACCCCTCAGTTCCTGCTCCCCAAACCCCTCTGTTCCTGCCCCCCAAACCCCTCAGTTCCTGCTCCCCAAACCCTCCTGTTCCTGCCCCCCAAACCCCTCCTGTTCCTGCCCCCCAAACC